GACTAAGAATGTAAACATCGCCTCCCCTGCAAGAAGAGCGGAATGAACGGGGCATAACTGAGGCCATTTATCATCTGTACCCGCGAGTCACGTGCGAGATATGTGCAGTCACATGCAAATGATTAAGTAATTGGCCTTCACTCACGACTTTTCAGCAAGAACACCAATGGTGAGACCGACAGTGGATGCATTCCGCTGCACGTTTAACAGATTCTAGGGTATCGACATCACCCACCACCACGTCAAGAAGGGTAACCGGACTGCTCCCAAGAGCGAGGACCCGTATCTGCTCCTGCTGGTCAAGGTGAGGATCTGTTATCGCTGAGCGTGTTTGTGTTGTACTTATCCATCCCAGCTCTACCGGTTTTTGGCTCGTCGCACGGATGCTGGCTTCAACAAAGTCCTCCTCCACCGTCTGTTTCTGTCTCGCACAAACCGGGCACCATTGTCGCTTTCTCGCATCATGAAGGAGACTTCGAACGCTGGAGACCTCTCCGGCAAAATCATCGTCTCAGTCGGTACGATCACGGACGATATCCGCCTGCCTGAGGTCCCCAAAATGACCATTGCTGCTTTGCGATTCACCCGGTCCGCCAAGGAGCGCATTCTCAACGCTGGTGGTGAAGTCCTGACCCTCGACCAACTTGCCATGCGTGCACCTACTGGCGCTAACACCATTCTCCTCCGTGGACAAAAGACTGCTCGGGAGGCAAACAAGCACTTTGGCATGGGTCAGTCATGTTTTCTACCGCCGATCTCTCCGCTGACTTGTGGTGACCCTCAGGCCCCCACAAGCACAAGAAGCCGTACACCATCTCCAAGGGTCGCAAAGTGCGTTCATTGAGCTGTCCTGTCTCGTGTGTTGCTCACCCGCATCTAGTTCGAGTCTGCTCGTGGACGCAGAAAGTCCAAGGGTTTCAAGGTCTAAAGCGTCTTTCCCTTCGGGTTCTCTGCAGCATGCTGGTGGAGAGTTCTTGCTTTATGCCTTATGTCACACTACTTTACACAGTCCCTGTGTCATGCGCGTTCCTGTTTCTACATGCCCAAACCAAAAATCCGCATCCGCATCCATATGTATGTATGAGCCTCGTACGCTAGCCCTGAGAAATCATCCGAGTGTACGGTGTCTTCCTTGCGGCGACCTCGCTCGCGGAGACCCACTTGACGGGAGGTGGGACCGGCTCCGCAGCCTCAATCTGCAACTGAGCTTGATCCGCCTTTCTCTGGCGCTTCTCCTGCTCGTGCTTGCGCGCCATGTCGCTAGCATTGACCCACGAGTGTACCGCAGGTGGCTCCGGATGCAGTCGCGTTATTCTGATGGCCAATGCGCCCCCATACGCGTCAATGATCGGAGTAGTCGGTTCCTCTGGCAGCTGTACCTCCTCATCCTCGTCATCCAGTCTCAGCAGATCCTCCTCCTCAACTGCCGGTACGTATTCATACTCGTCTTCCTCCTCGGCCTCGGGCTCCTCTTCTAGGTCAGCCAACGGGCTCGATGCACGGTGATGGGACAAAGATGACAGGTCCATGAGACTGTGAAATGCGGCCTCGAGATTAGACCCGCCGCGCTCCGCCAAGGCCGCGGCTTGTTCATGCTCCAGCTCCAATCGGAGAGTCAATCCCGGGTTCACGGCTTGGCTGGGCGAGGAGGACGGCGACGCGTACGGCAAGTCCTTCCGTAACCTCCGCTGCAGGCGTTCGCGCGCGACGGCATGATCGAGCTCCCCCTTCGCGAGGGCCTTGATGGCGGATACCTCGTTCTGGAACATGTCGATGAGCGACTTCTTCTGGTACTCCTCGTTCTCCAGACCCCTGATGTTCTGCAGCTGAGTCTCGAGCCGATCCTTGGCCTCTTGAATCATGTCCGAGAAGGACTCCTCACGCCGGTCTCAGTCATACAGGTCATGGACGGGCAAGGACGACCACCTACTGCAATCGACTGCTTCCGAGCCTCCTTCCAGAGCTCATCGGGCTCGTCATCTTCCAGATCCAGGAGGGAATGGTGCCCATGCGGGGAGGGCACACCGTCTTCATACAACATCGAATCGGGGTCAGGGAAAGTCGGAGGTTGAGGAGAGAACAATGTCGTGTCCGACCACGGCTTCGCTTCTTATTAGCCGTCCTCGTGTTCGAACAAGTTAGTCCTCGAGTGATGTGAGTAAGTAATGCCTGGCGCGCCGATCTGCCCGAGATGAGGTAGTGATGTGTTCTATCAAGGGTCCGATCGGATTTCCACGATTATTGAGGGTTTCATTATATCATATCTACGAGTGTACTTTTGCCCTTAAGATCTATTGACTCTACTGCGGAGGGACGATTTGGTCCAGCGGCGGCGGTATCGTAAACTGCTTCTCGTTCACAGGCGTGGTTGGCTCGACTGGCTGCACCCGACTCGCCTGCTTGGCTTGTAGCCTCCTGCAATATTTCGCTCCACCAGAGTAGAAGAAAGCCATGGCACCTGCGATCATGATATGCCCATAGAATCCCAGTCGCATCCAGGTCGAAAGAGAGTTGCCCGCAGTGAGCAGCACGAAAGGTGATGCTGCGTAGTTGAGGATCAGGATGGCAGAGGCAGTACCCAGCACATCGTAAGCCCGTTTGGCGAATGTCGGCGGGCTGCCAGGAGGGGGAAGGATAAGCGGCCGGATGTTGGCTCGCGAAAGCCGGCCGACGGTCGTAATCAGACCACCGGTGAAGAAACTGAGGTAGTATCCAATCGCGATACCGTGCTGATCGGGAAAAATGAGTAAGCAGTCCACCCACGCAATGTCAGTCATACGCACCCAGAAAGCGCTCGTTCCGAACGTGATCATGCTACTCCTGAAGCCAGGTTTCTTGCCCTTTGGAGTCACACGTTTGTACACGCATTCTCGAAGCCAGACGTTGGTCTTCATGTTCCACGAGTCAAGGAGGACCTTGAAGTTGGATGGAAGCTCGATGGAAAGAACATCGACGTTCGCTGCCCCATTCCACATAGGTTTGCCAGTAGGCGACATTCCGGTGAATCCGTTCCCGGTGAGGATGCTAGCGCCCTGGAGAGCAAAAGATGTGAGAATGAGATCCGTGACCCAGGAAGAAAGACATCAACCTCAGTCAGGGTCCAGACAGCGTAGTACTTCATGCGTGTAACAATTCCAACTAGCTGGAACACGGCAATTCTGAGGAGTGTGAACTTATGCAGCAGATGAGCGAAATGCGAGGCACTGACCGAGTGAGCAACGACTGCTTGACAAACCACTCAGTCAAAGAGATGGTGTACGTCCACTGAGCACCAAACACGACGAAAATGGCCAGGTAGATCAGGCCCATGATCATCTTGCTATAGGCAACGCGTTTCCGGCCGGAGGGGACATTTCTTCCGCTCTTGCCTTTGACAGCGAGGTTTTTGAAGGCAGTCTCATGGATGACGTCCATGTATGAAGCGTAATCAAGGTATGGTCCGACGAGCATACCCGGGAAATAGAAGCTGAGTTTTTCCAGTAAGAACCAGACAGAGACCGGAATAAACAGACACACCAATAGCCCAGGAACTCGAGCATGGAGGGGAAGAAAATAACGCGTTTAGCAGCTTGCCATTTATCGAGGTCCTAAGCAGGTTCGTCACGCTTCCAAAATGACGCGGCAGGATGCAACAGACCTCTGTAGGACGACGACCATCGAACACATTCCAGGCGAACGTGGTAAGCTTCATGGTCAACACCATTTGCGGCCCAGTGATTTCAATAACGCCGTCTCCAAAGCCATACACGACGCGGATAACGTGACTGGGGCGAACATTAACCCGACTGCTACTGTGTGAGTGGTAACGCACTTGACGGTGAGATGTCCCATGACAATACTGCAGCAAAAACATCGTTCAGAGACGCAAAAACGACAAGAGAGATTCTACTCACACAAAGACGATCCACGGCATGCTAGGAGCCTTGCTGTGCTTCGCAACAAAGTACGTGACAAGCACATCCCCCAGAAGCTGGAGGAAAGCGCCATAGAGCTTGAGGGTGTAGAGAAAGAACAAGCTTATGGCAATGTTGAAGATATGCTTCAGTTCCGGGCGCGACGACGGAATGCGGATGAACACGCTGCCCAACGGATACGCGACAAGAAGGCAGAACACCAGCTGGCATAAAATTAGCTGATGGAGATTTCCCACACGAAGGGCGCAGACGCACCTTTATTTGATCGACAGACGCGCCTGCCAGGTTCGCAAGGGGGATGAATAACATGTCCATGGCGCAGGCCCTTCAGCTGCTGGCTGGTAAGAGCAGAAAATAAGGGACTTGGCGAACGTGTTACGTCCGATGTCATCATGTGAGCTACCCTGGCCAGCCCTTGCGGCGTTTAATCAGGCTCGTGTGTCATGTCTGTGGGGCGCAAGTACCCGATATGGACATAGACTATGTGGCTGTGTGTTCGGCATCTCGGCAGTCACGCAGGAAGCTCGGACGTTCGAGTCCGAGCAGTTGTAAATTTCGCACAACTCAGATTACTTGGGCCTTTTGGTGCAGATCGTTAGAAACTGTACAAACGCAGAATTATATTATTTTGAATCGTTTCATTAACTAGCAGGTGAGCGGTAGTACGCTAAGTACTCATAAATAATCACTGATTACTTATGATTACTTATGCCAATTGGTGTGATCATCAGCACCTTCCGCAGCTGGATCCAAATGCATCAGCCTTCTGCAAAGACCGTGGTATAAAAAAAGTAGAACATATGCAATTCTGCCACGGGGGTTCTTGGGAACCCCCGAGGCACAAGTCATCCCAGGATTCGAACTCTAACAGTGATCAATGCCACACGGGATGACGTCGTCATCACCCGAAGAGGGCAATCACGGGTGCTTTCGGAGGCGGCATCTTCCGACCCGCCTGTTGCGAGAATTGTTTGATTCTCATTGGCTGGACCCTAGCCCAAATGAGGATATTGCCCCGAATAGACTCGGGGCCTCGCATCAATTCCGACATCAGGTGTTTTCAAAGTTGCCGACCTTGAGCCACTCTCGCGATACAGCCTGTACGGCCCACAACAGGGAAGATTATTTGTTCCAACAGTCCCATCTTCAAATCTAAATCATAATATACTCTCCCTTTTCCTCTGATTTTTCTCCTTCCCTTGTGTTTGATTTTTTTGTTTCTCTCCACAGACATGGGCCACGAGCCTTTAATCACAATCAAATGATCAGATAATTCGAAGTCCCCAAACTCAAGTGCGTGCAGACATTCCTTGTACTCGTGGAAGATTTCGTTAAATGCAACGAGTGCGAGCGATGTACAATATACGGAAAGAGCAAGTCATAAGCAAGGTCGTACTGTAACTATTTTCCCGTTCAAACAATTTGGTGGACCGTTCCAGCCTGGACTGACGTGGGACCCGCACCGCCCATCGATGCGGGCTCATCAGTTCCACCCGGAGCGCTTCCTCCGTACGAGACACCGGTAGTCCCTGCGGTCTGGGAAGTTGCTGGGGGCACGTCACCTGCAGCAGCAGGTGCACCAGCAAAGAATGGTGCCTCGGCGACAGATGACCTCCACACCCCAGGTTGTTGGCGCGAAGCAGCGGTGATAGACAGAGAGAGGATGAATATCGTGTATCCGAAGACTGGAATTCAAGTCAGATGATTACCAAAGGTTACTTCATCTGAAGACACTGACGGATGACCCAAGTCACATATGCCAAGCCTTGAACGGCGGAGGTCTCCCTACAGCCTTGTGCAATCTTGTCACTGAAGTAGTCGCCACAGCTAGCAATGAATATGTTGTTTGCGACATTCGTTGCGTCAGCAGCGGTTGCGAGCCACAGAACCCAAAGAACGGCTACATGAACGCGTTGGTGTTGGGGTATACCGAGCAAAAAAAAAATGGGACGTACATAACCACGGTAGCTCGACAATGATTTGCGACGTGAAGCCACCCGGACGAATGATCTCCAGGGCAATCCTGGGGACGAGCTGGTATCGCGAACGTAGCGATGAAATTCAGCACTCACATAGCAGGAACGGTGAGCAATGTCAGTGACGCGGTGGCGATTCCCAGTGCAGCAAACTGGAAGTAGCCCCCCAGGTATGTCTCAGTCAGAGACGTGAGCCCGGCGGTCAGACCCAACACGATCACAGCGAACACGCTGACAAGAGCTAGACAGTGTATCAATACGAGGCAGAAACGGTGGGCACTCAGGCCACGACGCACACAAAGCAACGAGTCGGATGAGGGGAACGAGCGCCATGATGATGGACGGGCGGAAGGGAATGAGTCAAGTGGCGAGAGGTCTGGCCCGCTTTATAGTTGGATCGAGACAGGAGGCGAACTGCCGCTTATGGACCCGGATTTGAGACGGAACCCAGCGTTCCTGGGAACGTGTTGCTGTACAGGCTGTGACCTGTCAATATGAAACCGAATGACGCTGGCCTCTTGAATGCTTGGAAGTGGTGCAAGGCTTTGGTTGTGCTCGTCGCGAGGTTGAATAAACATCGAGAGACAGCGACTTTCCTCTCAGAAGCCTTTAGCAGCGGTAAAGTAGCTCCAGGTAACCAAAGGGAAGTGCCCATGGGATTCCCGAGTTTTTTTGACGGTGTGCTTTGTTCCCAGCTTGATGGTTTAATTAGTCAATCAGCATCGCCAGTCGCTGGGGGACAAAAGCCAGAGATGGCACGTCGTTTGTTTGCCGTGCCGCCACGACAGCGTTCAAGCTCTGTTATGTCACACCAAGTCAGATTCAAGCCCCGAAATCCCAGTGCATCTCAGAGACGACTATATTCGCGCCCAAGCAATGTCGACCACAGAGTGCGAGCGAGGCAAGGACAAGGATATCTGCAAAAGAGGATAGTCAGGGATCAAGATAGATGTCATCTGTCACTGTCATCTGTCACAGATGAAGGATCGACTTGATGCGTCGCGTACTCGGAAAGTGACGCAATGCGCACACATGCTGGTCACAGCAATCTAGAAAGATCTAGGACCCAGCAAATCCTGACTCTGGGTCTTTATTTTGATTCCAAGGCTGCAAGCTGGAGTGACGGGGGGCCTCAACGTCTTTCTTCTCTGCACATCGAATCTGCCGTAGCACGGCGCCAACTCGGAGATATTCGATACGACCGTGACGCGCTAAGGCAGGAGATGGCTATCAGAGCCTCATTTTTGAATGGCTCGGCAAGGTGGATGTCGCGGCATGAAATATTTTTCCAGTAAAGGCGTCGCAAAGATCCGAAATTGATTAGAGTGAGAAATAAATGGCGAGGTTTTGCGCTCCATACATCAGATATTTCCGTGCGGAGTCCAAGGTTCAAAAAGTCATTAGTTCGTGAACGTAAGTGTTTCTGGATGGGAAAAACAGAAAAGGGTCGTGACTGCTCCCGTCCTCTAGTCCTTCGATCGATCGGCCGCACCACCCACTCAAACACGAGTTTCCTCGTGAGCGGAACTTTGAGCAGCACCTTTACGCGTAAAGAAAGGCGCCTGGGCAACTGAGGACCTCCAGACCCCGGCATGCTGGCGCGAAACGGCCACAAGGCAGAGACTCAGGATGAAGATCAGGTACCCGAAGACTGGAGACGAGATCAGATAAAGCAGTGACACAAGACACGGAAACAATGCACGGATAAAATAGTTCAGGTGTGCAAACGCGAGCAAAATTGCGCTCTCCTGGCATGCGACCAAACGGTTGGCAGAGTCCCGGATCTCGTCGCAAAAGCCGGGGAAATCCTCTATGACGGCCTTTGTTGCGTAGCTCGCGGTTGCCAACCATAATGCAGCAAGGACGGCTGCACATCTCAATTGAGATTGTCCACACAAGTGAGAGGCGGAGACGCACATAGCCAGGGAAGCTCGAATTTTATCTGAGACGTGAGTCCGCCCGGGTGAATCAAGTCCAATGCAATCCTATAGCTACATTGGCTCCCTTGGACAAGTCAAACGAGAATGTTGACCGACATGGCAGGGATAGTCAGAATGCTAATCACCGCTGCAGCGATCGCCAGCGCAGCGTAGGGATAGTAGCCGCTCATGTAGGTCTTGCTGAGAGACAGGACTGCAGCAGCCAAACCCAGCGTGCACAGGGCGAATACGCTGACAAGGGCTGCATAGCGCTGAGTGAACACACGAATCAGAAACGCGCCCCAGGAACATACACAAAGCAATCAGGCGGACGACAGAGGCGACAGTCATGACACAAGAACGAGAGAAATGTGAAGAAGCCAGGATGCGGGAGTTCGCGTTCGCGTCTCGTTTTAACACGCAGGCCTGCAGAGCCCTGGCGAGTACAGAATCTGCCAAGGAATAACATATATACTCGCGCATCACCAGTACCGTTTCAGGTCCTGCGGCGCCAAGAGGCCTAGGTGCGCGCCAGAAGTGCAGGCTGCAGTTTGCACACAATCACCTGCACCTGCGACGTAGCCTGTGAGCTCACGCAATTTCTGCGTCTTTGCCTGTAATATAGTAGAAATGCACTTGGAATAGTCTGACTTGACTTATCTCATGAGACGATCGTGCTGCCACTCCAGTCGAAGGCTGTAGCATCGCCTCGAAGATTCGCGCTGGACCGGCCACAACTTCCGCCCGATGCATTTTCCACGAGGTAGATGTTTGTATAGACGTCCAGACCCGGCAGTGCTCCGCCGCGGTTGGCACTTGCTGTAGCTCGGATCGAACCGAATGATGACATCATGTCGTGTCCGATTTCACATGATGATTTCGGAGCCGTCACTTCGAACCAGTCGGCAGCGGCATTGCGCGGTCAGCTCCCAGCATACATGGACAGCAGAACACCCGATAGATAGCAAAATCGACAGTACAAAAGTAAACAAGGGCTTACTGAGGAGATAGTAGAAAAGTGCTCATCCGAACATTCGACCAACCCACTCGACAACGTCCATCTAGGCTGGTGAACCAGAGTCGGAGACGACAAAAGCTGGTTTCGCATCCCGGAGCGCGTCTCCTCCCCAGATCGATCGAATGAACCCGAAAACCGACGTGAGGGGGGATTGAGCAACATGGGCTTGGCCAGCCTGCGAGAATTCGAGATGTGGTCGCCGGAGCGCCAGACGGTGTGTGACGACATGACAGATCAGAATGAAGAGGATCAGAGTGAACACGATCAGAGTGCGCGCTTTGTATTGCAGGGGGGAGAGCGCATACGAAACGAGGCGTTCTCGCAGGGAAGCTTTGGGGGGCGGTGCCCAGAAGGCGATGGAGAAGTCGCGCGCGGAGGAGGGTGATGAAGGTGTGACGATGATGGCAGGGAGGGCGTCTTTCTCTCCTTTGAACGGAAGATTGAGATCTAAACACAGTCAAGACGCGCCCGAATGAGAGAGGGGGGCCAAGAATACCTAGAGGTGCGGGTATCAAGGTGTAGTCACGGCGGTGGCCGAAACGGTGGAGACGCGGGGCTTTGCGGCCGTCAATAAATGATGATTCCAGCTAAGAGTTATATGCGCACAAGATTGGTGATGCATGGTACTTGATGAATATGTATATACCCGGACCGCCAGGAGGTAAGGGAAAGAAAGTGTGTTGAAAGAACGTCGACCGGCGTTGCGCCAAGGGTTTGAGAGAGCAGAGACGGGTTAGGACCGCTGTGCTTGAGGAGGAAACGGGAGAAGACAAAAGAGTTGGTGAGGATTGATCGTTGCTCATCGCATCACGTGGCTCCAGGCGTATACGTCGGCGATCAATGCCAAGAAGCATTCGTCTCCGCAGCCGCCCGGGACCCGCACATCTCTCCGTGTAATGCTCAACGCATCCCAGTCTCCCGCTCCTGTATCGCAGGGAAATAACAGATCTTTGCGAGCGGGTTCTGTATCGTGCTTTCGATGTGGCTTGGCCTCCTCGTTCAATGCATGGTAGCTCGGCTGTTTCCGCTCTCGGCAATGACACTCGGCAATGATATCATTTGCTTGGTCAGCAGCCTTTTTTGATCATTCTCTTTTTTTTTGTGGGGACGTTTGTTTATTGGTAGGGCATAACCGACATAGTCGTCTACAATCTACCCGTCTAGTTTTGAGGCCTTGGAATATGAAACCCAGCCCGTTTGAGGATCTATCACACGAGGAAATGTGCTGTGTGACCTAATGGTCACTCACACGATGCATCCGGTCGCCCGCGATGCCTGTGTGGGGATTAGGAGGGGTGGCTCCGGAGTCGGTGTTGAACCGTCTCCATCCTCGCCACTCATCCTATACCCACCAAAACCCCGTCTCCCTTTGTCCAATCGCCAGGGAGATGAACCTCGTTTCGTAATGTTTTGGCCCAAGTTTTCCGGACCAGTGAAGCCTTTATGTGTTTCGTACCGTATTTTGCTTCATTGGACAGTTTGCAGTCTAGTAATAGTCTTGTGTTCATCTTGTTTATCCATCTGTTCCGTATCTCGGGGATCGTTGCCTCGTCTTTCTCTTGTATGACTCTTTCACATCGGATTCTCCATATGAGATGTGCCGACTCTGATACTAGGATTCGGAAGAGGCGGGACGTTCCTTCGTTGCCTTTTGACACCGTGCCGCATGCCATTAGGTCAGCAATTGACATGTTGAGTGGTGTGCTTGTTTTCATCATCCATAACTCGTTGGCTAGCTCCCATACGGTTTTCTGGCCTTGTGCCTTGCACTCGAACAAGATATGCTCCATGTTTTCGGTTATATGGTCTCCACAGTGGGCGCATGAGGCTTTCTCTTCGTGGCCCGGGATTTTGGTCCAGTGGTTGCCGACCTTGTAGCCATCGTGGATAAGCATCCACAAGAAGTAGCGGACGCTTCGCGAGAAGTCGGTATGTCTGGTGGACTTCCAGATCTTGCCTTCTGTTGCTGTGTGGCCTGTCTCGTTATCTCTTGTCGCTTCAACAGCCCGTTCGATGTTTTTCCTTGTTGCTCTTCTTTCTAATGCGTCTTCATATCTTTCGGCCATCATCTTCTTCTTTCGGATGATCTTGTATGCTATCGACTGGGTCATAGCCTTGAGTTTTGCACCAGGGAGTCTGAGTGCTGGGTCGACCTGGGAGTCGATGATGTCTGGGTCTTGTTTTGTCCGCCCTATATCTGCCAGCTTGTCTGCCTCTTCGTTACCTTCTATCCCTGCGTGTCCCTTCACCCACGTCAGTCTTGTTCTCGCTCTTCGGTTGCGCACTTTGGTGATTGTAAGTCTGACTATGTCTCCGTTGTCCGTGAGGTGGAACCCCGTGTTTTCTGCTTTCTGCATGCTTTTTGTCAGGGCATTGATCGTGTACATTGAGTCTGTTTTGATGTGCAGAGGGGCCGCTGGTGGACATATCTCTACTGCCTCCTTTACTGCGAGGAGTTCAGCCACTTGGTTCGAGGGTCTCAGTTCTTTTGGAACTTTTATTGATCTATTGCGGATATCGTCCACTCCAAACCATATCCCAGATCCTGCCTCTGCAGTTGCGCTCCCATTGCCTGTCGCCGACCCGTCTGTATATACGACTATCTCGTCAATATCGTCTGGGTTTCCCCAGTGTTCTCGGTTGGGTGCTGATGCACTGTTGTTGGTTATGTCTTCTGTGAAGATGCGGAATGTGTCACCCACTGTGCCCTTCGTTGTGAGTCGTTGGTCTATTTCTATTGATATTCCTTCCCCTTGTTGCGTGTCTAGGGTTTGGGGGTTCATCCTTCCTTCGTAGTCTTCCGGTTGCGGCTGCCTTGGGTCCCATTTTGGGTCGAGGGTGTCAAGCATATCTTTGGCTTTCTTGAAGCAGCGGTTGGGTGATTTACATCCGGTGTTACGTCTAATGGACTTGCATGTTGTACATTTGCAGTCTTTTCTGTCTGTGTGTCTACTTTTTCTGAGGTTACGTGCCAGTTGTACTGTTTGTTTCACGGTCATGATTCTGTGGTTTTTCTTGAGACATTCGACGACATGTATGTTGGTGTCCCAGAATCTTGGATTGGTTGTTGTCGACTTTATGTGGTGCCATATTGTCATGTTTTCTTGTATCTCACGTGAGACTGCAATAGTTTCTATTGAGAGTCCATGTTTAACACCTGCTTCTGTCATTTTTGCCAAGTCTTTTCCGATCTTTGGTGCTGATACTTTATGTTTCCATGATTGTAGGTACGAGTTGATTCGGACTGATGCCTCCACCGTTGTGCCTTCTGCGGACATCTGATTGGCAAGTATTTCGTCGGCTGCAAAACACCATAGGGCTCTTTCTGGGCCAAAGTCTAGGTATGTCTTGAGCCACATCACTGAGATTGCCTCATTTCGTGCAATGATATCAAATAGGTCTCTCCCACCTGATTCTGCTGGTGCATACACCGTTTCCTGGTTGATTGTCACTCGTTCTTTTTCGGCCCATAGGAATCGACGTACACGGCGTTCAAGCCTTTCTTCGATCTCCTTTGGCATTCCTTGGACTGTGGCCAGGTATTGCGTCATGCCTCCTATGACCATTAGGATTATTAGACGGCGTCCTTCCATGGACGGGTTTCCTCTGTGCCAGTGGTCTAGGGTTCTGTCTATCTTTTCAAGTGTTGTGTTCCATGTGTCTACTTGGGTGACTTTATTTCCTACCCAGGCGCCTAGGCACCGTACAGGTTCACCCTCTTTGGCAATCTTTATGTGGTCTGGGATCATGGTCCCGTCTATGCCATTGACAAACATGTTGGTCCTGACTTGGTCTCTGTGTTCGATTGTCCCGATTGGGATCATTTCTGTCTTATTGATGTTAAATCGTGCTCCTGATGCAATGCACCATTCATCAATTATATTTAGTAGTGATCCGAAGTCATCTTGCCAGTCTAAATACACTACTGTGTCATCTGCAAATAGTGTTGCTATCAGCCTTTCTTGTACGCCAGCTATGTTGATTCCTTTGAGATCTGATTGTCGTAGTGCCTCAGCGAGAGGTTCGATGGCTAGATTAAATAATAGGCACGATAGTGGGTCCCCTTGTCTAACGCCTCTGGATACTTTAAATGCTGTAGTGCTCGTCTCGCCATTTAGGATTACAAATGTATTTGCGTCGCTATATAGACTTTTGACTGTGTTAATGAATTCCTCCGGAATTCCGTAGCTGTGGAGGGCCTTCCACAGGTAGTCGTGTTCGATCTTGTCGTAGGCTTTCTCTTGGTCCAGGGCTACAATGACTCCGTTCCGCTCTGTTGCTTCGGCTAGTTCAATGATCCGTTTGGTGAGCCATATTTGATCTTTGATTTGTCGGCCTTTGACAAACCCTGCTTGGTTGCGATGGATGAGGTCTGGTGCTACGTTTGCCAGTTTTATTGAGAGTGCTTTTGTGAAGAGCTTATAGTCTGTATTTAGCAGTGAGATTGGCCGGTAGTTTGCTATGTTTGATTTGTCGTTTTTCTTGTACAGGGGACACATCCAGCTTTCTGCGAAGTGCGTTCCTTCGACCATTCCATGTTTCTCAATGTCGTTAAAGACCATGGATAGTGTTTCAATTACATCAAACCCTGTTTTATTTGTGCTGACATCTGTTTCGTATCTGTCATTGAGAGTCCTCCATACTTCGTATGGTATGCCATCCAGCCCAGGGGCCTTGAAGTTGGCTGAGCATTTGAGTGATTTTAGTACGTCCTCCCTTGTTAATGGTGTTCTTAGCGTTTGGTTTTGTTCTTCTGTTGTTCGTGTTTTTGTTTTGCTTAGTATTTTGTCTGTTATCCTCTCCCGGTCGTAAGGTTCAGTTGTTCTCCTGTCGCCTTGTAGACGGTCATGGTAGTCACGGGCCATGTCGGCCATCAGTTTGGAGTCGGTTTCATATACCGTGTCATTATTGTTGTTTCGGTCTGGCCTTGCCAGTCTGCGAATGATATCTCGGGGCTTACTCGGCTTGTTGATCTTTGTCCAGTACCGTCCGATAATTTCGCCATGCAGTTTGTTTTGGATCTGAGCATTCAGTCTATTTGAGCGATATCGTTTCTTCTGTATTACTGATATTTGTTCAATTATTACTGATGTGTTTAGGTGTTTCTCATCATCAGGCATCATGTTGTCCCTGTGTATGCTCTCTAGTTTTGCTTCCAGGGCAGCAATTTCTCGGATGATGTGTGGGGCTATGGCTCGTGCGCGTTCTCTCGCTTTCTGGTTTATTTTTTGTTTGAAGCAGGCCCATTCTGTTTGTGGGTTGTAGCTGTTTGTCCCTTCCACGCTTCCTTTGATTCTGGCGTGTGTGTCTCTTCCGGTTTTGTGGATGAACGCAGATAGTTGTTTGTCTTTAGTCAGGTAAGCTGGCCAGGCCCATCGTCCGTGTCCCACCGTTGGTGCATCTGCGGTTGATTTCTTTGTCCATACCAGGTCGTGGTCTGTCTCGATGCCCACTCTCTTAATGCCCCATTCAAACGTGTTTTCGAATTCATTTGCACGCACATAGATTCGATCGATTCGGGATAGGGATCCTCCAAGGTTAGCGGGTTGGCGGAATGTGTATTCCTTGGTCTCGGGGTATGTGGTTCTCCAGCCATCGATCATGTTCAGGTTACTTTTAAGCTCGTCTAGAGCGTCCACTGCAGGGCCATTATCTTCATGGGCTGGGAGTCTGTCTAAAGCGGCTTCTACAATGTTCATGTCGCCTGCCATTATATCTGGTTTTCGGATTCTGGGGTGTCGTGTGAAGAATTCTTGGATGTTCTTCCAAAATTGTGCATTTTCGGCTGGCTGGTTTGGTGCGTACACACCAAGGACTGAGAGCGGTGTTTCATCCGCGTTTTTCATTAGGATGACCATGGCTCTGCCTGGTACAATTTCGTGCATTTGTATTCCTTCTGTCCGCGCGAGGTTTTTGTTTATTACAATTGCAACGCCAGCTGCATTTGCTGACTCTGGGCTTTCCGTATGTAGGATCTTCATTTTACGGCCGAACAGATTGTCTATATCCTCTTTCCTCTCTTTATTCATATGGGCTTCTCCAATCACCAGTACAGCCACCTTGTCTTCTCGCATTATCTGCCACACCCCCAGCCATTTGTTCTTGGGGTGGTGGGCATTGGTGTGACCGTGTCCCCGGATGTTTAGTGCACCTATTTTCAGGGCAGCTTTCATGTTCTTCCGGCCGTTTCTGCCGCGTGGGCCAGTGGGGCCCGGGTATGTCTGTGCGTGTGTTGGGCGTCTGTTATCTGGCACTCTGCCATCTTGGTGTCTTTCGTTATCTGGCTCTCTGCCATTTCCGCTTTCTGTATCCCTTTCTTCTCGGGGGGGTAGCTGTCTCTCAGCTCCCTGCGCTCGCTGCGCATGACTGTCCCTGTTGTCTGGGCTGGGTAACTGTTGCTCAGTTCCCTGCGCACTCTGCGCATCAGCACATCCACTTGTGCCCCCCGATCTGCTCGCTGCAGTCGGAGTTGCGTCCCAGGGCCCATCATCGGTTCCTCGGGACATCTGTCCTTCCTCTTGTGGAGGTTGGCCATCGTCCCGGGTTACCTCCGGGCGATGGTTCGCCAGTTCCCCTCCTCCGCGGTTGCCTTCGTTGGGACTGGCTGGGCCGGTGGCGGAGCCCTGCCGCCCTCCAGCTGCCGTTGCCTGTGCCAGTATGTTTGTCGAATCTTCCGGGTGCTCGTTTCGCTGAGCTTGCGATGGTTGTTGTAGATTTTCAGTAGCCAGCCAAAGAGACACAGCGCGTTTCCCGCTAAGATCGGCGCTGTGAAGTCTCACCTTTGGGGTTGTCGGGGGAGCGCCAACCGTGTCTCGGGCACGCGTCGCATTCATCTCCCCCGACATGCCAGGACTGCTGGCCAGCGCACCCCGACCTAAATAGGTCGCGCTGTTGCGGCGCTATCAGACGAGGGATCGACCTCATCCGACAACGCGTTCCCTCCCCCGTTTCCCGTCCTGCTCCCAAATAGAACAGTCGGTAGATGTGGCGGGTTCGGGTTGCGCGGTCCTCGTCGCGTCTTCTTCTGGGCCCAGACCCAGGTGGTCGGGCGCTCGACAGTAGAGATCAAAGATTGTCGGATGTGAGGTTGCGGTACGTGTGAGCCTCGAGATGTCGTGGTAGCTCTGCAAGTGTTGCCGTCGAGAGGTGTCGTCAAAAGTTGTCGTCGAGAGTCGTCTTAGAGAGTATTTCGGGCGAGCGCGTTGAGCGGAGAGGTATAAGCGAGGTCGGCAGGTGTCTCGTGGTGTGGAGTGGCACGTCGCCAGTAGCGTCGCCGGGTAGCGGCGTATCATCCCGCATGGTGCTCATACCTCCGCAATGGCGTCTTTGGCCGCAGTCCCCCACTGGTTTGCCGTTCCCGTGTTGTGTCGTAAGTGCGTGACGTGGCGCCGTAGTGTTGACGGTGCGGCGTTCGTGTCAGCGTCGATGAGGGCTTGGTCGGGGAGGAGGGATGAGGGATCAAGGGAGAGAGTGGTGTGCGAGCCATTCAGGCTGTAGGGTGTAGTGAAACGATTCATATTTCTATTAACCTCTACGAAGTCGCCGTACTGCGTACCGTGCACACTGCACTTCCGGGTAATCCCAACCCATCCTCACTTCGAGGTGCCTTTAGTCTCGGCCGGTACTCGCGCTGAGTCCCCACCGCCCGCTGCGGCGTGGGGAGCCTCGTATTTCCTTTACCGTCCGTCATCACCCGAGGGAGATGATGGTGGTAAGAAGTCACGAGCCCCATTCCTTTTGATCATTCTCCTGGACGCGAAATTGTGTGCGCGATGAACGACGTCCCTGCTGCTCTTACGCTATCGGCGAGCTTCTCCGAAAGCTCCGCGTCAATTCTCTCTGTCTCTTTACCGTCGCAAGCATACGTCCTCTCCCTAGCATCCATACCGTCATTCTTCGCCGCTTCTGCCTCCGCCCCTTCGAATCAGATTCATCTTTTCGAAAAGTCTTCTCTGCAAGGTGCCGCTGTTTTTCCAGGGCACGAAGTGGGCACCACATCCCTTCAATGTGTGCCAACCGTCGCCAACATCTCGCGCCCGTCCCTTGTGTCCACAGGCTTGGATGGAAGTGTGAAAGTTTGGGATGAACGGACGAGTTCACACAGCATCAAAAGTAAGATCGGACGCGCTCAATGTCGTGATTGAAGTTCTGACTACCTAAGAGTGACGAATCTGGGCCAATCGCGCGGCTTGCTCTGCTGTGATGTGTCGCAAGATGGAATGACCGTGGCTGCCGGGACACAACTGCAGGGCGAAGACGCGCATATACTATACTGGTGTGTGATCCGCACTCTATGTTCTCACAGTCACCGATCGAGCGTTTCAGGGACCCCCGGCAGCCAGCTGCGCCGCTGCGAACTCACTCGTCTACACATTCAGACGACGTGACTGTCCTGCAATTCTCTCCCGATTCTCCCGGAGTTCTTCTGAGCGCATCGACGGACGGGCTTATCTGCACGTCAGATCCTAACGAGGAGGACGAAGACGAAGCCGGTATATATGTGGGATCTTGGAACACCAGCGTGTCCCAGGCAGGCTGGATCCAGTCTCCCGGCAGCGCGAAGATATGGGGTGCTAGTGATATGGAAACATTCAGCACTTGGTCCCATGAGGTGCTTTCCACGGAAGTATGCCACTTTCAAGTACCAACACTCTTTTCAGTTGGATCTCCTACAAAACCAAGACATCCGGGGCCCCTCTTTACACAATCACCCACAACACGAATGGTTGACTGACTACATGATCAAATGCCATTCGACGGCAGATGCGGATTTCAAGGTCTTCGTTGGCTCGAATCAGTGCGTGGTTTGATTGGTCGTTTCTTGTCAACGCTCTGAACACAACATAGGGGCGACTTCGCTCTGTTGACCAACCCGGATCTGGCCTCACCGGGTGCGCCCTGGACGCTTCAAAAGTCCTGGACGCATGGTCATACGGGCATCGTCCGATCTCTGTTGTGGGACGAGCAGGCGAGTTTTATTTCGGGACAGATATGTCAATCCAGTAAACATGCTTCCAGAGTGGTGTCGTGCTGAGCGGTGGCGAAGATTCTGCAATCAAGATGTGGAGGATAGAGGGCTCAGAACAGGATACCTCGATGGATGTCGACTCGGTCCCATGGTCCAAAACCAAAAGGCGCGGTACGGATTGGGAGGATGAGCAAGTGAGTAAAGGTATCTCTGCATTGCTTCCGCGACTAATGAACTTCTAGCAAGGAAAACGGGCTCGTCGATAGAGATTTACAAATGTACTATTTTCCTATACAAAAGTCACTGAACAGCGCGTCGAGTATATCTTCGACATCAATATGGCCAGAGATCTTCCCAACAGCCTTCGCTGCATATCGCAGCTCCTCAGCACCTAACACGATATCGTTGACAGCTAAATGAGCAGTTAGTTATGATGGCTTGTCGTTAGATGTGAATCCACAAACATGTCTCCAGGAAGGCATCAATGAAATTCGCCGCCGACTCCAGATGAGTCCGATGTCGAGCATGTGTGATCACCGGTGCATGACTGTCGTCTTCCACGTTATATCTATCATCTCGTTAGATCCATGCGTAGCTGCGAGCTTCAGCTCTCACTTTTCGCGTATAGCTTGAGCAAAGCTAGCAAGGAAATTTTCCGTCCCTCGTCCTGTTCTCAGACTGACGGCCCACTGCTTGGGTCCCAACTTGAGTCCCGATACATCTGGGTGCAAATCCAATTTGTTATAGAGAAATAGCGTGTCTTCCGTAATCAGGGACTGGATTGACGGAGAATAGTCCATCTCGTCACATGCCAGTACACACAGCGAGATGTCTGCTGACCGAATTCTTCGCCGACGTCAGCAAACGAGGGCACGAGAACAAGAATGGAACCGACGCAGTCTGGGCTCGTTCAATCCCGATTCGCTCCACCAAGTCGTCCGTCGGACGTAACCCAGCCGTGTCAGACACGATAACAGGAATACCCCCGATATCGATGGCTAGTTGTAGGATGTCGCGCGTCGTGCCGGGAACAGGCGTGACAATGGCCGCCTCACGCTGGGCTGCGAGAGTTAAGAGACGTTGATGGCAGACGGACAACGCACCCAAGAAATTCAGTAAACTGCTTTTGCCTGCATTCGGCGGCCCGAATATGGTGAGATGCAGCCCTGTGCGCAGGATTTCACCGCGCCGGCTGTCTCTTAGATATGCCCGAATACGTTCCAAGAGCACTGCGGCCCGCTGCCGGGCTCCATTCATAGATGAGCACCAGGTGTCGCTGACGACCATTCAGCATACCTTGTTCATATACACCTTCTTCGATGTCTTCGCCCTCTCCGAAATCAATCAACGCTTCAACGTGTGCAAGGCAACCGATGATTTCCTGCCGGATATCCTCAAAAAGGACCCGTGTGGCACCCTGAAGCAAGATAAACACAATGGAAGGAAATTCCGGGCCGGGGACAAGCTCACCTACCTCCGCCGCTCGCAGTGCCATCCTTCGCTGGCCATCCGTCTCGGCATCAATAAGATCCTTTAGACCTTCAACCTGCGTGAGATCCAATCGACCTCCACGAAAGGCGCGTCGCGTGAATTCTCCGGGCTCCGCAGGTCGACAGAACGGTAGCGCGGAGAGAGCTCCGAGTACAGAAGAAATGACAGCCCGTCCAGAATGTATGTGCAGTTCGAGGACATCTTCCGTCGTGAAAGACTTCGGGCCTGCTCCGGGGGTGAATGATTCGTTCATCTCAGGAATGTTTAGTTGCTCACCTTTGAAAAAGACGGCTAAACCGTCGTCGAGGACCTCCCCGGTCTCAGGGTGCCGGATGCGACACCGTTCCATCCGCCAGGGCTCAGGTGGATTGGTGGCGGACTTTGGAAGCAGACGCGTCCTAACCAGCTCGGTTTCGGGGCCGGACACCCGGATGACAGCAACACCTGCTTTGCCAGGGGGAGTCGACAAAGCATATATCGTGCTGCGCTGCGCGTCAGACAGGAGCGTAGCATGTCGTTCTGTATGCTTCCATCTCCTTGCAAGCCGAAGACGAGCAATGATCACGGGGCGGTGCTGATCGAGTCTTGAATGAGCGAGAGAAATTCCAGATAGAAGATTGAAAGCTGTGGATGAACGTTTTGAGAAAGTTTTGGAGAGTGCACGATTCATAGGACCAGTGCACGATGTTGCACTGCGCGGCGAGGTGCTCCTCCCTGTGGTTGGTCGCGAACAGAACAGCGTTCGCCCGATCAGGGCGGCACGTGGTCTGATACTCGCTCTGCTCTTGTGCTCCTCCATTCCGACTCCCTCACTCGCTCTCCCCGCCCGCAGCGTCCGCAATCATGGGTCAAACAAGTGCGCGTCCTATAGCAGGATCCTTTTGACGGCACTCAATCCGATACAGCGTCTGCTCAGTTTATGGAGGATATGGAACGACGGTCGAACTGTGGGTCGCGATTGAGCCGTCTACTTCGTGACGGGCTTTGATATCGCGTACAGTCACTCAGCCAGAGCTTGAAAGACTGAAGAAACGATTCATGAAACTCGATGTGTACGCGGTGTTATCTTGAAGCTACAGCAGCCGATTGTTCATGCACAAACAGGGACGGCTCAGGATCTCTTGATCGCGAGGAGTTCCTCCAGATACCGCAAATTGCTACGAATCCCCTGGCCTCCCGAATGATTGCTATCTTTGATGAAGAGTATGGTGTCCGCTCATTTATCACGTTCTCGGTCGCGCTCATCTGACATCGTAGCGGTGGAGGAACAGTAGATTTCCAAGAGTTCGTCGGTGGGCTGAGTGCATTCAGCAGCAGGGGTGGACGCGAAGAAAAATTGAAGTGTCCGTCGTATACTGCTCCTCTCTCTTGCGATCACCTTCAGCTCATTGTCATCCTCTTTGCGTGCAGTTGCCTTCAAAGTGTACGACGTCGACCGGGACGGATTCATCTCTAACGGCGAACTCTTTCTGGTTCTGAAAATGATGGTGGGAAACAACTTGAAGGTGGGCTCCGACTGGCGCAGCTTGGACCGACAAGAACTAAGCCTTTGGTGTTTCTTGTAGGACCAGCAGCTGCAGCAAATCGTGGACAAGACGATCATGGAGGCGGATCAGGACGGCGACGGGAAGCTAAATTTCGAAGAATTTGCGCAGATGGTGTCCAACACGGTTCGTTGCCTCTGCATTCCCTGGCTTCTTGGGCTGACATGCCCTCCATTCAGGACATTGTCAAGCAGATGACATTAGAAGATCTGTTCTAGTCGATTGCTATCTCTTACCCGCGACTTGTTTTCCATACCCGCATCTCACCGACCCCGTCGTCGATACGCATGTCTTTGGTATCTTTGCTTACGCGCATTAAGCGAAAGGGCTGTATCGACATAATGCGCAGTTTGTATATTTAGGTTCAGCAACCGGCGCAGTTCGAAATGAGAGACGAGGAAGGTGAGATTAGGCAAGAAGCTACGATATTGTACACAGAGGAGGGTGCAACAGATGTTATACAAAGTGGGATGTGTCTACAATATGTGATAGGGTATCCTGGTGGATTGTGTGCCGTCAGTCCGTCCTTCTGACCGATTACACCGTATTACACGTCGACGGAAAGTTGGGCACCTCAAGATCAGAGCCTGCGATGCTGGGATCGCCCTCCGATCTTGAGCATCAGGATCAAGCAACGACCCAGTCAACAAATGTGATGACGGGCAGTGCCTGGAGATCTAGTCAGAGAAGCGCGGACGGAGATGTTCCCGCTGCAGTAGCCAATAAGGCCTGCGCGTCTAATGTCAGACCGTTCTGTACGGAGGCGTTTCGTGCAAAATTGGAGTGGATCATGAACGGTGATTGTTGGGAGGGAAAACCGGCCTGGCTGAACACAGATGCCGGAGCCGTGCCGTAGTTCTGGGACGCTTGGAGCTGTGCCAGGTAGAATGGATCGGTCGTTGCGAAAAGAGATGCGGAGGATGGTGATTCGGAAATGGGATTGTAGACCGGAGAATGCGGCAGGTTCCTGGACAAGTGCGCTTTCGTGGACATGGGAGAGCTTGGGATGAGCAGATCTTCCACCATCCTCTCGTCCTCGTCCATCTCGTCTCGCATATCATCAGCGCTTCTGACTGATGACGAGGCCTGGGGTGAGTGAGTGGGCCACGCCGATTCAACGCTCATAGGGCCACCCCAGCTGAAGCTCGACGAGGGCGTTCGACCAGTAGGCGTGTTACAGGGTTTGACAGAACTATCTCTCCGCGAAGATGCCGCCAGTGATTGGCAAAAAAGACTTTGCGCTAGTTGCAGCTGGATAAGGTGATAAGTCAAAGCTGGTTGTCGTGTTTCATTGGGAGCTGCTTACCTGCAAAGACGCCAGATCCAAGGCCTCCTGCCCAACATGGCTGCCAGACATGGACGAGCACAAGTCCTCCATAGACATGCTCATATTCGGGTCGGATAAGGCCTGAGGTCTTGGACAGAGCTGATGGAAAGCCCCGGGGTCGCGTGCAGCGAAAGATATGGTCGGGCGTGAGAGAAGCGTAAGATGTGGGGTTAACTGCCAGGGGATCGCTTCGGGAGCCTTTTCGCGGGAAATGTCACTGGGCGTCGCAGGTTGTGGGCGTAAGAAGAAAAGCTGCTCAGAATGATATAAAAAGCAATATAGTAGATCCACGTGAAGACATTTGTACCGGCCCGGCAATCTTCCGATATTTCCCGAGTTGCGACAGACGCAACTAGGCTCGTCCGGACCCACGAGCAACGATACCGCATACGTACATCCGGGCCTCGCTGGTGTGTGCCGACCTGCATGATCGCTCCACACAGGCCCAGACATTCGAAGTCTGTACTCTTCGACGAAGAGGAAGTTCGCTTGTCCATGACATCGATCATTTTACCCCGCGTACATATTACCCCGCTCGGCGGAATCAACGGCGCGCCTTGCACCGGCAACTCGGCGAGCCGAACCTCCGAACATTTTCCAAGAACACGAAACGAAGGGGAATCGAAGCAACTAGTAGACGTACATGGTATTGTATTGTGAGTGATCTGCCTAAACAAACTCTAGTTCCATAGGATAAAAACTACATGCAAATGAAGACTCGAATTGAAAATGCAATGCCTTGTGCATTAATCTTGCTATGCCGGAATCCAGGTGCGTGTCTGTCCAGAGCACGAGCGACCGCGCACGAGCCCTGGACAGACTGCCGACTCACGGACTGTTGGGCACCTCTATGCCAGGTGTCCGCTGGCCAATTGCATGCTCGGGTGTCCTTTCACCATCAGCATCGATATCCATCCTGGAAGAGTCTTCGGTCCCGTCTTCGGCATCCGTCTCATCGGCTGAGCTCAGACTGGCAGCATCCGAGCCACGACTTGAATGGGTCGGCCGTATGGTAGGCTCGTCATCCGTCGTCCAGCCGCCTTCAGTTTCCGTTTCTGTATCCGCACCGGAGTCATACGAAGACGCTGACGAGGTCGAAGCCGAACGGGGCTGCGGCTGGGGCCTAGCAGGCGGAGTATTATTCGGGGCCAAGGATGATTGTGCGTTGGAGCCGGAGAATGGCGCAGAAGGGGTTGGGGTGAGGGATGCGGATGACGAGGTGCTCGCCGACGACGGCGGAGGAGAGGGGGGTTGATGGTCCCCGTTTGGTGTCGGAAAATGTGTTGGAACGGCACCAGAATTGGAGAAAACGATCAATTGCTCAGCGTAACGCTGCATTTCATCCCGGGGGATCACCAGCCGGAAATCATTCAGCAGGAGGAACTGTAGCTCAAGCTGATTGAGTTCTGCTTGGGGTAGACCGCCAACCTGGAAACACGATGATGAGCGACTTTTCATTAAGGTTGGACAGAAAAGGAAGAATGGCGTCACCGACGTCAATTGGATCCCAGTACACACCTTGGCATATCTCGAGTTCGTGTAGAACACATCGCTAAAGAACTTTGAGGCAACAGTGACCCCCGCAATTACGAGACGATGTATGTTGTAAGAATCAATCACAAACGTGCGACCCGTTGCCTCCGAGGAGAGTTTACTCATACGGTCAAAGTAGACCAAGAGTGACAAGAAGACCTCGTTTGTGGTCGGGCAATACTTGAGGATGCGAAGGAGATAGGCTTCGAGAGAGATTGTAGGGATATTACGCGCGTGGAAAGTGAGTATGGATGCAGGGGTGGAGATCGCAGTTCGTGACGCTGTTGTCAACGTTCGCCAGATGGGGGCATCCGTCGCTGTGACGGTGGCAAGGGTAGTGCGGGTTGGGGTAGTGGAAGGTGGTGTAAGGGGCGAAACCGCGTCCAGCTTGTCATTCGTCGCCGCTATTTGTGATAGCAGCGAAGCAAGCAGTCGTAACAGCTCTTGAGGCGGGTAGGAGTGCACATCGAACGCGCCAGACTCTTGTATGACAGGCCCAGGGGCTGCCCGCTCTTCATCTCTAGGCGTCGAAGTGATTTGGTGTGCGTCGGGCTTGGAAGAGTCAGACGGTCTCGGCGGCTGAGGTGCCCTACGAGACGACGACGCGGGGGTCTGTAGGGCCACTGCTTGTTGCGCCACTGGACCTTGTCTGTGAGCAGGTGTCGACGATGACGAAGGCTTGCGAGTGGGAGGACGGGGCGCGGAGGATCTCGGTTCGCAAGGTTGTACAAGAGCGAGCATGGGTGGTTCAGAATCAAGCAGTCAACAAAAAGTTCTAATTCACACGGAGTTACACCACGTCACAAATCTCCATGTGCAGCTGCAGCCATGCGAGGCGGCTATCGCTCGGCAAACGCCTTTCTCCAGACTTTTGACGAACTCTTCTGCTCCACTTCCAGATAATTTCCGCTCTGTCCACCAGCCGTGTCCTCCGGTCGCTTCGGTGGTCGATGACCAGGGCCTCAGGAGCACCTCCACTCCTAATCGCTCCTGAATTCTTTCTGTCGCTCTCAAACGTTCCTTCATTCGAGTACATATTTACTAGCGTTGAGAGCTATGCATCCACACTCATTGGTTGCCCGATTCTACTCAGCCGAGCGCTGGCCCTTAGATTTCAAATCGAAGTGATTCCAAGTTCAGCTACAAGAATACCGTTCAATTCAGGTTCTATGTATGATCTTCTGCATTTCCCTTTCGACAGGGGCCCTTCGCCTTTATGTTCATTACAACTCTCGCGCTACGTTGAATCACCCTGCAAGCCTTTGTCCGCCCCTCTTGACTCGGTACAGCCACGGGGGATTGCAGTCGGTACTGCCGAGAGGTCACTGCAAACAGAATATGAATGGGCCGTGATGATGATGGCGTAGAAGTAGGCTCATGCTGGCTTGCGACAAAATAGACGTTCTTTCTCCTGTTACTCCCAATCTGCTGGCCAGCGGTCAAGAAGGTCTTGAGCAATCTCAAGAATATGGCGAGGAAAATGCGAGGAATCCAGTGCTGCTTGGCTGGCAAGCGCAACCAATGCTGCATGCAGAAGCCGCAAATCTCCTTCGGTGGCCTTGGCTTCGTTGTTGCTCAGTGAGGTGATGTCGGACAGGATGCGGGATAGTGTTGACACATCGTCGCGGGAAAGCGGGCCCTTGCGGGCTAGAATAGGATGCAGTTCCTCGTTCCAGGTCAAGACACGACTCGGTTTGTGAGAGGGAGAACGCGGATGGGACATGTCGAGACCAGGTTCAGCGGAATTCTCTGACTGAGTCACTGACTCGTATCTGTCGAGTCCGATATCGCTGAACGGAGTGAGATTTTCGATGTCGAGTGCCTCCGGAAACTTTTGCGCAGCATGCATGCTTTTGCTAGCCTTCCTTCTCTTCGTCTTGGGCCCATCCATGTCTGCAATATTCGAACCCTCCAACCCGAATGTGTCACGCAAGAGTTGCGCCAGGGTAGCCGTTGGTGCTCTGGGGGCGACATCATAGGAAGGACCGGTCTCGATTGGATCCGGGTCACGATATCTGGACTGGAAGTCGGCAAGCCACTCCGATACGGCATGTAAGTTATTTGCGAGCCTGCTATCGTGCATGGATCCCACCGGGGCATAACAGGTCTCCAAGGAAACTTCCAATGACGACAGTGCCTTCGGATTGACTTCAAACATAGACACGTCTCGGGGCTGGGGGACATTGAACAATGGAGTTGCAGCAGGCGGTTCGAGTGGGGACGCGAGAGCAGACCTTCCCAAGGCACTAGACACGGGCTCCCGGGGAGTCGCAGATGGGGATTTCAGTCCGTTGAAGGAGAGCGGGCGAGCACCCTGGGGCGGCGCAGCTCCCGATGTCACGATGGCCAAGTCGATATTCTCCTCCGACTCGTCATCTGGTGGCTCTAGCAGAGAAGTGAGAGGAAAAAGGACGACATCCGGCTAAGATAACCTCAGAAACCACAGATTCGAAAATCCGTGTCGGCGTACCCTTGTTAAACCAGAGTCGGGGTCCTGTTCGTAGCAGAAATCGTCCCGTTTGCGTTTCAGCGGGATATGCAATCCAGGGTCGCGTGAAATTTTGAGTATCTTCGGGTATAGCGGAGGAGCGGAGTTCTCGATAGCATGTGAAGAGCCCTGCAGACAGCCGATGGTGAGAAACGAGACATGGATAGATGAGATACGACTCACTGCCTCTTTGAGTTTGATGCTACTTGTTTGGACACTCTCCTGATGGCCTTGGCCCAATTGGGGCAGAGTGTCTACAACTGGTAATGAGTCATGCACAGCGTGCCAAGGACACCACATATAAAAGAAAGCTACTTGCCATTTTCAATATCCATGAGGAGGATGTGTGGTGATTTGATTTTCAGTAGAACAGCAGGATTCTGGTAAGCAAGTCAATATTACAACAAAGCATCAAGAGAGCTGAGCATGAGAAGACGCAGAGGGATTGAAGGACTTGGACCATGGATTTTGCTAAGCACATGTTGTGGTATGCAATACAGTGCTTCATAGATAGGTTGAACAAAACCATGTGTGGCTCAATGAGAGTTGCAAACACAATTGCAAATCAACAAAGAGGGCTGCAGGCAGAGAGTGTGGTGGACAGTGAAAGTTGAGATCCCTGTCATTTGGTTGTGCCAACACAATCATAAAATGAAACACATTGCTGGTTGCCCAGCAGTAGCATCTACTATTGTGAACTCACATTATCAAGGTGAGGGTAAATTTGCAGAATGCAGAAGAGGAAAATGGAACCAGGAGTCTAATGAGATAATAGGAGAAGAGTCAAGCCAAAGTGTTGTAGCTTGTTTGCTGTCTTTGGGTCTGCCTGTCTGTTTTGACAGGTTTGTGACATATGACATACAATACTATTTTGGGAATTTGTCATGTGCTCCAAGTGTTCAGTCTGGAACTTGTCATGTGATCATGCTTATGTGTAACAACCAAAAATAAGAGTTGAGAAGAAGAGTGAATTGCAAGACTGGAGAATAAAGCACTAGTTGTCAGGGGAACCCCTGCTTTTGTCTGATCATCGTTGTCATAATTCAATCACTTTTTCATTGTTTCATCATTTCATCAATCATCTTATCTTATCTTGACATGGGGATATCTTATCACAGATCATGGCATCACACAGTCTGGGTTAGGGGTTCAGGGGACTACTGTAGCCCTGCGTAGGGGAGAAACATAACGTGTCACGCTGATAGGCTGGCTACCAGACGCGCTCTGCACCAGCTCTATAAGGGCGTATTTTTTGCACTTTTACAGAGTTTACTCTTGAACCATTTGGTGTATCGTGTCGCAGTTGCCAGTGTTGCGCTCAGTAGGACTTAAGGGTCTACTGCCCAGTCAACGACTGTGGATAGTGGCAACAATAGCAAGGCAGTCAGACCACTACTGTGGAATTGGTCTTATGAGTCTACACCAGGCTCAGGGCTATTAGTGACGGACACTCGGACCACAACAATTCTCCAAAAGGGATACTTTGTTGCGGCAACTCCTCAAAAGGGTCATTCTCTGCAGATGGGAACTCGGGCTGAAGGGCTTAGCAATGCACAATGTTCTCAACATTACAACTACTACTAGACAGGACTTGGTGTTACAAGATTGAACCAATCTTGTTGCGGCAACTCCCGGCTTTGGGTTGAACATTTCCTTAAGATCATGCCACGGCGACGACTTGTCACATGTCATGACCCACTCAATCACGGGATATTGTGGACGCGTCACGGCGAGTCGCGCCCATACCCAAACACATCAAAAGCAACACAGGCTAGATCCGTGAACCAAACCATGTGAGGAACGTCTGGCTTGCCTAGGGCTATACGGCTTCTTGGGATGCCCACGTTGGACTCACTTGCCAAGACATACCAGTTGGCCAATCCAGCACATTGTATTCCAAAAGTATGACGCGGTGGGTTGACCCACATCAAAAGCACCATATGGACAATGGGGCGGGGTCCTGATTGTGACAATCAACCCAAAACAAAGTCGAAAAGAGAAGTGAATTTGAAGACTGGAGAATACAACCAAGTAGCTACAGTATTTATACCCAAATCCAGTCTGAGTCATATCTACAACTAATGAGTCATAGGGCTATGTACTGCATGGAGCACTGGTCATGGGTTGTAGTAGAACCTTCCAGAGCATATGTCGTGCAGCCTTGAATCGATAAGAACCCTGGAACCCCTAGGCCTGGACCGTCTGATGCCGTGATCCGTGATAAGATAATCCGTGTCGAGATAAGATGAGATTGTCGAGGATAAGATGAAAAAGAGTCGAATTATGACATTACCCCCTCTCTAGGGTCGATGTCCTCATCGACTAGGTCAATGGGCGTGAAGACGTTCTCGTAGGGGTCAAAGAGTTGTCGCTGGGGATATGGAAGGCGCTCGTCTTTGGGTTTGTAGCGATGGATGAGATAATCCCAGTGTCCGGCTTCGAGTGTTGGCAGGAGGCGAATGCGTGTGTCTGGGTTGGATTGTTTCTTCTGCCAATCTCTCAGGACCTTCTTTGCGTGGGTAAGGTGACGTGATGGTTCCCAAGTATTTTCGCTATGCGGCCAGCCCTTCCATTTGACCAAGTACTGTTTTCCTTGGCCGACGTTTCGCTCTTTCACAATCTCTTCGACTTCCCACTCCTCTGCTCCTCCGATCATCTTGGCTATGGGCCTCTTCTCTCGGCGATGGGGGGGTGGTTTGTGATATGGTGTCAATAGTGACTTGTTGAACACCGGGTGTCTTCAGTCCGTGTCCGGCAAGTCCAGCTTCCATGCGGCCGCTCCAACCTTCTCCAGTATTTCGTATGGTCCTAATCTCTTGTCGCTCATCTTCTTTGATGGTCTATCCGTCTCGATATTTTCCCCTTCTATGTACACCTTCATCCCAACTCTCAACTCTGGAACTTCTTTTCTTTGTTTATCGTAGTATTTTTTCATTTTTTCATTTGCTTTTTTCAATGCTGCTTTTGCTTCGTCTTGTATTTCTTTGATTCTTTTTACAAACTCCTCCGCCGACTCGTTCCTCGATTCCATCCGTTGTTCTACTCCCTTCCATGGGTGATATCCGTGATTGGCGTAGAACAGTGATATTTTGGTAGACGTGTTCATCTTGTTGTTGTATGCGAACTCCGCCATTCCCAGCCACTCCGACCAGTCCATCTGATGGTAATTGACGTAGATGCGGAGATAGTGCTCGATCTCCTGATTCATGCGTTCCGTTTGTCCATCTGTGATCGGGTGATATGCGGTCCCTGGATTCATTTCCACGCCCAACATCCGATTTGTCTCCCTCATGAAACCTTTGATGTAACGCAAATCCCTGTCGGTGATGATCTTGCGGGGGATCCCGTGGTAGCGGAAGACTTGGTCCCTGGTTAATCGTGCGACTCCTTCACTGCTGATGTCAGTACTAATTGGTTTGACATGGATCATTTTGGTGAAGGTGTCACACCACACATGAATTGCGTCATACCCGTTACTGACCGGTAGGGGTCCGATTTGATCCATGGAGATGATTTCCCATGGCACATTTGGGACTGCATGCGGGTGCAGAGTCCCTGTCCTTGCTCTCCTGGTCTTGGTCCGCTGGCACGCCTTGCATGTCTGGATGTATTTCCGGATTTGGTTCCCCATCCTTGGCCACCAGTAGTTCCTTTCCACCATTTCCTGCGTTTGATTGATCCCAGCGTGTCCGACCAAGGGTGTGTCGTGGTGTAGTCCGATGATCTTGTCTCGCAGTTCCTCGTCCCTCGGTACATAGAGCTTCCCATGGTATGTGATGAGCCCGTCTTCCTTTTTCCATCCAGCGAGTGACTTCTCCAAGGCCGCCTTGACGCTTCCATCAATCGATCGAGTGGCCTTGATCTCATCAACTAGCTGCTGATCTTGTCCCTTGAATGTGACTTCTTGCGATCGGAAGAACTCGGGCTTCAGTAGGGTGACGTCCTTGTTGTCATTCTTGCCCTGGTTGTGATCCGCTCGTCGAGATAAGAGATCCGCCTTGCGGTTGAGTGCGCCGGGCCAGTGTCGTAAGGTGAAATCAAACTCCGCCAACTCCGTGATCCACCGTGCTTGCCGTCGATTGAGCTTCTGCGGCTTCCGAAAGTACTCGAGATTCTGATGATCGGTGAAGATCTCGAATGTTTCCGTGGCTCCCAGGAGCAGCTGCCTCCATTCGTCAAGCGATAACATGATTGCAAGCATTTCCTTGTCGTAGATCTCATAATTTCGCTCGGTTTCAGTCAATGCGTGCAAAATAAATGTGATTGGGCGCCAAATGCCGTCTTGGTTTTGGCTCAAAACGGATCCTGTTGCCCCTTCCGAAGCATCGGCTTCCAGACGATATTGGCCGGTGTCGTTTGGCAGTGCTAAGACCGCATCCTCCGCGATTCTCTTCTTCAACCTATCAAATGCTGCACGCTCATCCGTACTCCATGACCATCCTGCCTTCCCTGTCAGCCGTGTCAACGGCTTGGCGACTTCCGCGTATCCCCGGACAAAGCGTCGATAGAAGTTTGTGAACCCTAGAAATGCTTGGACTTGTTTGACGCTCTTTGGTTCTGGCCATTCCATCACGCCCTTGATCTTGACTGGGTCCATCCGCATCGAATTGTGTCCGATAATTACACCCAAATATTCGATTTCCGTGTGTTCAAACTCGCACTTTTTGGGCTTCAGGTATAGCTTGTGTTTCTGGAGCAATTCGAGCACTCGTTTTGTGATCCGCCGATGTTCGTCCAAGTTCTCTGTGAAGATCAGTATATCGTCCAGATAGACCACCACGTGACCCTCATTGATCAACTCTCGGAGTATGTCGTTCATCATGTTTTGGAACATTGCCGGGGAATTCGTGAGACCAAAGAACATAACTAAGGGCTCGTACAGCCCTCGGTTCGTGCGGAATGCAGCCTTCCACTCGTTGCCCTCTTTGATTCGTACATTGTTATATCCCCACCGGATGTCGAGCTTGGTGAAGAACTTTGCGCCACATAGATTATGGACCAGTTCGGAGATCAGCGGCAGCGGGTATCGATTCCGGATTGTCATCTCATTCAGCTTCCGATAATCTTGGACGGGGCGTAGAGAGCCATCCTTCTTCTTGACAAAGAAGAATGCTGAAGCCATGGGTGATTTTGATGGCCTGATCCATCCACTGGCCAGGTTCTCTTGTAAGAATTCATCGAGTTTGACTTGTTCATTGCGTGATAACGGGTACACCTTGCAGTCCACTGCTTTGGAACCAGGTTTGAGCTCAATTGCATGATCCCATGCCCGTCGGTCCGGTAGTGAGTCGAACGATTCCTTGGCGAATACCTTGACAAATT